AGTCTATAGAAATTAACAAAACAGCCAACATCCAGAATAGGAGGAACGAGTGTAGAAAATTGAGTAGGAACTATTATTTGTCTGTTGTATAGGCTTAAGGAGAGGGAGAGCATGAAAATCCACTGAACACGAGAAAAAAGCTATGGCATTCACACCTCCCATGACATGAGTATTACATACACATAATAGATAATAGCACAAACCCAAACAGGAACCAAAATTATAGAATCATATGCTAGAGTATGTAAGCAAGGAGATAGCTTACACCCAATTTCTGAAGTAACTTCACTCACCTGCAAGCATTGGAGTAAGTTTGAGGTAGCAAACCAAATACTGGGATACCTCATTAAGATTGTAGTGTTAGGTTTATAAAAAAGCGACTAAGGCTTCAACTGGTCATCCCTATGTCTTGGTTTAGTATATTTTTGCTCTATATCGTTAAGTATGGATTCTTGCTCTGATGATGCTTGCCGCAGTACCGAAAAAATCTTAGCACAGGTTTATCGGGGTCGCAGAATGGTGAGCCAAGCACTTCGTCGCCTAATCCAACAGTCTTCCCTACGCGGCAATCCTCCTTCGGTTTACGGTAATGCCATTTTAAGAATTCTCTCCAACCAACTTTTCCTTCGAGATATAAAGTCATGTCACAATATATCACTAAGACTTATTCGAAACCTAATTTTTCTTCATAGCCTCAAAGCCAGCATATTTTCGCTTATAAATCCCTGCCCAACTTCTTTCTTACTCTGATAGCTAAAAAACCAAAACGGTAAACAATTGTCACCTTAAATTACCAGTGTAATCTTTATATTATTATATATTTAGTGAGTTAAGAATATGAGTTCATCTAATCTATCCCAAACATGCTGCAATATTGAAAAATATTCGATCATATATCTAACTAAAATCTTTATTGTTAATCTTACCTATTTCATGAAGATTTTCCCCTTACTTGACATTTTATGAATTGATAAACTGGGAGCCAAACAAGATTCATTTGCGAGTCCTTACACCTATTCAGCAAACCTATAATTAAAGGTAAAGTATGTGCTACTAATAAATATATTTAGTGGTCTTTAAACTAAAATTCTGCGTAGATTTCCATCTGGATGTCCTTCTAGACTCAACACTAGTGATTGAATAGCTTCATAAGCTCGAATACTATTGTATGTTGGTACCATAACAAAACTTACCCAAAGGTTCTCCTCTCTAATATTTTGCCGATATATATGAATTCTCAACTGAATATTTCCAACTTTTAACTTATTTTCTTGATACTTTGCATGAGAATGCTAGCTCATATGCTTCACACTTCCCTTATTAATAACACTCAAACTAAATGATAGGCTGAAGGCGCCCTAGTGTACCCTGGAAGAAAAAATGTTATCACCCACTTCTACATTTCTACACTGCCTTCCCAATCCTTAAGCCATTTCCTAACCCGTTCGTCTGGGTCATTAAGGATTAAGGACCCGAGGAATAGCATGGCTGGGATTTCTTAGTCTGGCGCGTCTGTTTTGGTTGATGAGATTTGCGTGCCTGCTGAAGGAGTGTGAATTTGGTCAGAACCATCCTTTAGCTGATAAGTTGAGTCGTATTCTTTTGGACGGCGGCTCAATAACGTCTCTCTCCTTTACTTTTTAAATCATGCATAAGTAATTATTACACAACTTCCTACCACCATTCCTCACATTCAAAGTTTTCACAATTCTATTAATCTTAATAGCCCGTCTTATCTTTAGTTTCGTAGCATACGTACGATAATCAGCAAGCCTCTGCGTCCGAGAACATTCTATCTCATGTCCAGTTTCGGCCCTGTGCTCAGCCACTTCTGACCGTTAGACTCAGCTGCTTTTACAAGCATTTGTGTGCTTCACTCGAGTATATGTGAATTAGCCAAACCTTTCTATATCAATCTATATCTTAAATTCTGTGCGCAATGAATATATATAGATGTAATATAGAAAGAGCCTATCAGTCTTCTTGACTTAGTTTTTCGTATCTAAGTGGAGTTTCGAGACTACCAGTAAATCAGTAATATGTGATGTTTTCACCCTATTTCGTTTAATATGATGAAGGACTGGTAGCAGAATTTTCTCACAACGCTACGAGTAGAGCTGACGTTTCCATTGAATTTCACATAGCCTTACTTTCCCAAAAGTGGCAATGTGGCTGAGTGTTTAACGTGTCATGCTCACATTCTGCACTGTCACGGTTCGACTAGAGCAGGCTAGTTTAAATCAACGAAGATGTGTTTAAGGGTAGTTTCTTTCATATAGGGCTGAATAACGGCAGGAATTTGATTAGTTGCCAGGCGAAATTAACATTTTTGGTAAGGAGCTCTAGTGCTTATCTATTTGTGTTGTTAGCTCACTTTAAGTTAAGTGAGAAGTATGTCGAAGCTTTATTACTGGTTTCGTACTTTTACTTTTATAAAAGTGCACATAAGTACATACTCACACGTACGAACATACCTATGGATTTACATATAACTTGAAACCGACTAACTCACTCTCTATCTCATGAAAATGCACAAGTTTAGGTTATATATACAGTATGCTTGAATTTTGCTGGATTTAAGAACTTGAATATGGTTGTACGGATGATATTTTCTCTGATACTGTCTCTCACATGACTGTCTCTCACATGACATGTCTCTCACTAGGGCAAGAAGACTGTCTGGCACTATCTTACCTCTTATATAGACTCAATTAAGAAAAAGAAAATAAAAAAGCCTATATATAATGGTTTGGTCCTATTACTTTTGTTCGAGTGTCTGTGTAGGAGCGTGTGTATGTTGACGACAATATGCAAGATTGGTCCTAAATCAGTGTTCAAAAGACCAATGCAAGGATCTGGTCATCAAGGCTTAATAACCCAAGAGAAAACCCTGACCGAGACGGCGGCACTAGAGAATAGAACAAAAGGTCGGAGCGAGGAGTGATGCCACAACGATTGAACAGAAAAGTGATCAATTGTCACCTTGATAAGTTGTAACTCTGTGCTAACGATGGCGCCTCTCACTGACGATGCTGACTATGGTGTCGTCTAAACGTTTGGGAACTTACCCAGCCAATGATCCCATGCTTTGACTCACGAATAATATGGCAGAGGACACGAGACTTAGTACATTCCGCAAGGTCTCCCTGACACTCCGATCAAGTTGCGAAATCAAGGTCAAATTAAAAACATTATCAAGCTAAAGGGGACTGCGACTAAACAGAAGGCTACACCATCTTGGTCTTTATATCTACGATCTTATTCTTTGTATTATCTCTGGATGCTCCTCCAGATCTTATATCAAGGCCTGAATAGCTTCTTGAACAGGAATCTTTGTGTACATAGACACAACATCAAAACTTACTATCCTAGCTTCCCATGAAAGTGTCAGCTGATCAATCAATTTCACAAAATCATAAGAATTTTTAACGGAATATTGCCAAAAATTGACATTTTTCCTTAGTTGTATGCATAAAAAACGTGAGATTTTAAGCATAACGCTTATTTTATAGTTTACAATTAATCTTAGAGCAACACCATCCTTGTGAAATTTAGGGGGACCGTAAGCCGTGGGGGCACTTGCATCTCTCTGAAGCAGTGAATTCATTTTCCATTTCTCCATTTCACCATCACTTACACATACCTTAAGGGCATCCTTTAGCCTAGCCTTAAGTCTTTCTGGAGGATCTCTTAATAAAGGCATATATGTGTCAGTGTCACTTAAATGAATTAGCATTTTTTCTGCATAACTTGACTTAGCCATGACTACCATTGATCCATTTAAGTTAATAGATTAGGAAATACGTTGCATTTGAAGAACGATGGTAGAAGGTTAAGTAAAAACTACTTATGCTTGATTGATAGATTGAGAGTAGAGAGGTGTTGAACCGACACCCACAAACGTGACCAATATAAGGCTAATTAACAAAACCATTCTATATCGATTTATGTTGTTAAATTCTCTTTTGCTTAATAAGGCTTTATAAGAGGAATATAGAGTCGGATAGTATTCTTGTCTTATTGTTAACCTGAATATTTTACAAGAATGAGTCCCAGCTCTGATGATGTCCGCCAAAGGATGGACGAAAGCTCAGCCCGTTTTCACCTTAAAAGATGGAGGTCTCGTGGGTTGCATCAATATCAACGTCGTATAGAAGCTAAACAGCTGCAGTAAAACGGGATTCAACCTTCCTATTCTGGTGAGATCGACCTTCCAATCTCTTCTTCATATATTTTCATACGAAATGAAAGTCCCAACAATAATAGAATCTTCATCACAATATATTATAAAGTCACGAGGAGTTTTCTTCCCAAGCAATTCTTTCTATTTGTCTTTCTTAGAGCAAAAACAGATACAGAATCAGCAAGATACTTAACTTGGAATGGAAAAGCTCCTCAGTCATTTATTTTTGGTTAAAATATGATTTTTTACACCATTGTATCTGATTTAGCTGTATTTATGTATACGAATAGGTTTAGCTAGGGTACATATATAAAAAAATTAGTGGGGTTCAAATATACTATTTTCAACAGAACAATAAAGAAAGTTCAGAAAATCATTGAGAAGATCCTCACAGCACATAGTCTTTAGGGAAGGATTCGTGGACAATATCACGCTAAATTAACTTTGAATTGCAGTCCCTCCATCACATGTCTAAATTGTCTAAATATGTCAAATATGCCTAAAATGTAAATAGTTGTCTATAAAAATTATAAGATTCAGCTATATATTCAAACTCTTTGAGCCGTTTTACCCTTTGCCTGAAAGGCAGCTGACGTTTTCCTACACTGTTTAAGGAATGAGGTCAAAATTCACCTCAATCCAAGACAAAAGAATCGTTGTGGTTTCATAATAATATAGTAAATGCCCAATAAGAATGACTGGAAGATATTTATACCTTCAAGAGTAAACCTCACCGGAAATCTTTGTCGCTTGTATTCCAGAGCTAAGTATAGCTTACATTAAATCTTTCTTCGCTCGGCAACCATTATAATCTTCGATGCTACCATATCTTTATACAAGCGTGGTCGCGTTCCACTTTTTATGTAGGATTTCAGAGCTTCAACGAATAAAGGATGACGAGCGAGTGAGAGAGATGTCTAAGGCGGAAGAGGAATGTCGTCGAATGCGAAACAATGCCACTCGGGAATACAATGAAGCATTAGCACAAACGCAAAGAAGAAAGAAGTGGTTAGAGGATCGTCAAAACGAAGACGATAACATGACAGAAATTCGTAATGCCATCTGTAGTGATCTGCTGACTGAAAATCCGAACCAGGCCATCTCTCAATTTGGTCCAAACCGCCATATTCCAGATAGATTCAAGGGTTTTTCAGCTGGGAAACTCTACGACATCAGAAAGGACCAGCTCAAACAACAGGAAGAAAAAAGGGTAAGTGACATATAACGGCATTTTATCATATGTATTCAATAGACATTGAACTATTGTAGACCGCACAGTGATGATTTGCCTTATTAATAAGCATATGTGTTATTGCCATTAAATTTTAAGAATTTAAACTTGTAATTTATTTACAGCTTATGTGGAGTAAAATCCTGTTTCAAATGTAATATAATATGACCCCATGTTGCAATTAAGTTGAAACTAAGACAAAAATTAGAAAGCTTGAACAATTTTTTATCCAACGATTGTGGCAACTTTATTTCACACCTTGTTCTAGGCTCCTTGCAATGCAACTCATCTCTCAATCCCAATTTGTATGGCTAATGTTCCTACAAACACCTCTGTATCTTCGTTTTTCCTATATCTTCCAAATTGGTGGCCTACCAACAGGGTTTATTTAAAGCGTAGGCATTTACACCAAAGGTTTCACATCTTGTGAGATGGGTTCTTATTTCAGAAGCTCACTTATCCAATTCTCTGTCAGGTATTCACTCCTGGCCTGGATAACTGGCTAGCTATACCCCGTCAATTTCGGCTGCCGTAAACGTCATACACTTAGATTTAGTCCAATG